ATTTGCAGATAATGAGATTTGGAAGTACAACTTAGAGCTCGGGAGGCAAAACTGATTCAATACGGTTGTACATTTCAACCTTTGGTGGCAATCATTGGACCAGAACTAGCCTGTATTGAGCAGAGTTTCGTCGTTCTAGGAGTCAAAAATATTATGAAGTGGACACTCCTTTGAAAGCGGTAGATATTTGTTTCAAAATTTTCCACGTTCTACATATTCAGTATCCTCCTGAGTGCGCTCAATTATGGCAGTTCCTTCAGCGTGCTGCCTATGAGATGCCACGAAATCGTCAATACGACCCTCATTATAGTGGAGTCGAAGCTCTTTTGCGCAAATTTTCTCAATTTTCTAAAAATTAGTGTTGTCTTTCTAGATTAAGTTTTATAAAAACAAGTTTTGTATGTTCTTTTATGTGTATACGATTTGTGATTTATTTTTAGTTTATTTTTTTTAATTTAGCAAGTTTATTAATGTTAAAATTTATATGATTTATTTTTAGTGCATTTTTTTAGTTTAGTTAGTTTATTAATATTAAAGTAAAAATGCCTGTATGTAGCTTGTGTCACGTAAACCTCCTATCCATTCGAAGCTTGTTAATTCACCTTGAAATAAGACATTCCATAAATAATACATTCAAATGTGGAGAAAATCTTTGTTTTAGAACATTCAGTTTAAAAAATTTCTTTAAAAAACATTTGCAGACAACTCACAAATTTTCAATGGAATGTGAAGTAAAAAAGAAAGAACTATTGAGAATGATTTATGTAGTAACAGTACATCAGAAATTAATTTTGACTTTACTGAGAATAATGAGCCAAATATTAATGACAATATTAATGACATAAAATGTGTTACTTCTAAAAAATTTCATCATTGCTAAGACAGTCAGTTGATTTGTTTGTTGCAAAACTTTATAGTAATCCTCATTTTCCCAGAAATTTAATTCAAAAAGTAGTTGTCGATTCCAGTTTAATGGTTGGGAGCGAATACGTGGCACTTTTAAGAGAAAAAGTTTTAAATGTTCTACAAACTGGTCAGTGCACTCAAAATGAAGTTCTAGACATAGAGTTAATGTTTAAGATATTAGAAAACCCTTCCAAACATTTACAATCAGAATATCTTCGTTGCAAATATTTTCAAATGCAGGTGATTATATAGTTCCAATTCCATATGAAATGGGTAAAATGTTTTGTGCAGAAAGATGTAATAATACTATGAAGGGAAATATATTTCTGTATATGGTCAGTATATTCCATTAGATTCTATGCTACAAAAGTTTTTTGAATTGCCTGGTGCTTTAAAAGAAACTTTAAATTACATGGATTTCCTTGAAAAAGATAGTAAGGGTCTTCATAACTTTGTCCAGGGCTTCTTATGGGCAAAAAAAAAACAAAAATATAGTAAAGAGGATATTGTTTTTCCTTTGTTTGTATATTTCGATGATTTAGAGGTAAACAATCCTCTAGGAAGTCATTCAGGAAAACTTGGTGCTGTCTATGTGACAGTGCCATGTCTCCCTCCAGAATGTTGTTCCATTCTAAAAAATATTTTTTTAGTACTTTTATTTGAAAGTTGGACGAGACCATATTTTAAAAATAAGGCAACCTTTGCTCCTCTTGTAAATGTTTTAAAAAGACTCGAAAATGATGGTATTACTATTAAAAGTAGTGAAGGAGATAAGCATGTTTATTTTGTATTAGCACTTATCACTGGTGATAATTTAGGCTTAAATGGAGTTCTTGGAATGGTAGAGTCATTTTCTGCAAACTATTTTTGCAGAATTTGCAAAATGCATAAATCTGACACACAAGATGCGAATATAGGATGTGTAGAAGAATGTGCACTTTTGAGAGATCCTATTAGTTATAAAGAGGACTTAAAGTTAAACGACTATACACAAACAGGATTAAAAGAAGAATGTACGTTTCATGAAGTACCATCATATCATATGGTTGAAAATCTAAGTGTAGATGAGCTTCATGATCTAAGAGAAGGCCTTTGTAATATTGTTATGATCCATGTTATCACTAATCTTATAAATAGTAAATATTTTACTTTGAAAAATTTGAATAACAGGATGCTGATGTTTGATTATGGTCCAAAACATTCTATAAATAAACCTCCTTGTATAACAACTGATAATCTTTTTAAAAAACAAAAACTGAAAATGACTGGATCCGAAATTCTTTGCTTTGTCAGATTATTTGGAGTAATTGTGGGTGATCTTGTTAATGAAGAAAACCAGTTTTGGCAATTATATTTATTACTGCGTCAAATAATGGACATTGTATTGGCAAAGAGATTGTATAAAGGAGCCGCTTTTCAATTAAAAGCTCTCATAGAAGAGCATCATAGATTGTTTATCTCTTTAACTGGAAAATGTTTAACTCCTAAAATGCACATTTTTATACATTATCCTAGAGTTATTGCAGAAAGTGGCCCTATATCTCACTTGTCTACTATTCGAAAAGAAGCAAAGCATAGAGACCTGACTCAGTCTGCAAAATCTAACATGTCTCGCGTAAATATTGCACATTCTCTGGCTGTCAAACATCAATTAGGCATGTGCTATCGCTTTATTTCCAAAGAAGGCATAATTCCAGACACACAAATCGGTTCAGGCCAAATTCTTTTTTTGAATGAATTATTACCTTTCTTTGAAAACCTTTCAATTGATCTTAGAGGAACAGAATGTATGAGTTCAAATTGGGTGGAATATAAGGGAACTATTTATAAGAAAGGAATGGTTGTAGCGACAGGTGCTCATGATTTGTGTCCAAGTTTTGGAAAAATAAAACTAATTCTTCATCCTAGTTACGATGCTTGTCCTATTCTTGTTTGTAATGTCCTTAAGAATATTTGGTTTATACGAACATGTTTTAGGATATGAAATAGAAGAGACTGATGATTGGTTATGTATAAAATTAAATGATTTACTTGATTATAAACCCCTTTATGCGCATACAATGGCTACCGGAAAAAAAATTGTTGTGCTTCATTATAGTATTTAGAATAGTTAAATATCCAATTAATAAATGTATGTATACATTATAATTATATGAGGTAATTATATCAAAAATAAATTGTCTAAATAATTCACGTCATTGCTTTTTTTCTTCATTAAAAATTCTATAATATGAATATAAAACAGAACAGCGAAAGATTCTAGTAAATCAGCAGCTATTTGTGCAAATGTGAATTAAAGACAGCGATCACGCGTAACTTTTTCCCTAACGGAAAGGTGAAAAATGAAAAATTTTGCCATTGAAAATAATATGTAAAAAGTTACGCATGATCGCTGCCCTTAACTCACATTTGCACAAATAACTACTGATTTGTTAAAATCTTTCATAAAACTTTGACTAATGATTGGTAATCCTAGCAAATCAAACGTTTTGCCAACAAATAAAACAGCATAATGATTTCACATAATCACTCGTCATACAAATGATTTGCTGAAGAAACGAAAGACTGTTAGTTATATTTACGGTGGCAATTGCTACCACAGCAAATATAAAGTAACAAACCAAATTCGTCCCTCGTACTGCTATGTTTGTTGTCACAATAGTAACTAATCAAATTTGTTACAGGTACTTCTCTTTCGTTATTTTAACAAAAGTATTTCTCTCAGTGTGGGAGTAAAAGGAATTAATACATTACAAATAAAGCAAATAACAATAACAAGTAAATAATTGAATTATATTTGGAGAATGTCATAAATAGTTCGTGGTTCAATATATGTATTATATTGTTTCAGCGTATGATGTATTTCCTTGGCAATCATTGATAAACAGGATATACAAAATGTATGTCATTCAATTGCATCGGTCGATCAGCGTTTCTTGGTGGACCGCCACCAGCGACGCGGCATCCATCCGCGTATTTCCTCCTGTATTCTTCGATAGAGAAGAAGTACGATAAACGGAACCGCCAAGGTTTCTCGTTTGAAGAAATACACGTACATCGCAGCCATTAATAATGTTAGGTCGGTTACGTAGCTCACCGTCGACCTGACTGTTTGCTTAGCTTCCAGAGCTAACTGGTTTCCGTCAACTCGATCGGGAGAGCCTTTCTCTGCGTTCTCTTTGGCCACTTCGGAGTCTTTCCTCGTCGCTCGGTACTTGTTACTTTCGAGCGCCTTCTGCAGTTTCTCAACCTTTGATTCCACCGACGTCGCTCCGAATCGTTCTCTGGAATTTGATCTCGATCGCGAGGAAGGTCTGGATGGCACCTTGGATCTGCGAGAATCTTGTTCGCCTGTATCGTTTTTCGCTAATGGTCGATTGCTTCTTTCCTGAGAAGGCGTGCGATTTCGAGTTTTCGAAGACGATCTCGAAGAAGCGCCTCCTGTTCGTTCCTTCTTTCTCGTCGCTGGAGATTGGTCCCTAGAGCTCGGTCTACTTCCGCGCTTCTCTTTCGCGATCATCGTGTCCTTCGCAGGAGTCGTGCCTCTTGAATTAACGCCCTCTCTCTTGGAAGCCGGTGCTTGATTGTTTTTCTTCTGTTTGTCAGTTTTGTCTTTATTCTTAATTTTTAATTGCGATGCCTCGTCGTGCTCTTGTTTGTTTATTAGCTTCGGCACAAGTTTCTCCTGCACCCGATGTTTCTGATCTTGATCCTCGGAAATGGAAGATCTCCGTGAACTAGGTGCGCTATTGTGTCGTGAATGGCTCGAGTACTCCCGAACTATTTCAGTATATTGATTCACGACCGCCATTCTGGCCTCTGATTCGGCCGCTTCCTCTTCAGGTGTCATCGATCGCAATTTCGATTGCATTCTTCGACTCTTGGCCGCTTCCGCCGCCGATAAGATACTATTCGTATCGGATTCCGACATCGCAGGTGTTTTCAAAGTCTCCGACATGTTTGCAAGATCCGAAATTTTCTCACCGATATCTATACTTGTTTCCTCTGCATCTTCTGTTTCATACGGTTGTGATAATATCTTTCTGATGGGTTTTTCTGGAGGAATCAATTTGGCGAAATTATCCTGAGAAGTCTCTTCCTTCGGCTTCTTCAGAATCGATTTAGGCATCACGTTGTTCGGTGAGACGGGTGTAACTGCTCTGACTGGTGGAGGAGGCAAAATCTCCAAAGATGGCACTCTATCAGGCGAAATGTGTGGAAATTCCGGTTCAACGTGTGGAACCGACCTTCCTCTAGGATGATAAGTATCTTCCTCGTCCATGATTTGTCTCGCTAGGATTCTCGATTTCAATAATTTCAAATCTTCGCTGTCAGCACTACTGATCTCTTCCGAGGACTCTTCGGAAATCTCAATGCTATAATCCTCCTCCATTTCCGCTTCCCTCGTTGTCGCTTGAATCGGCTGTTGAAACTCTGTTTTATTTAGAATGCTAAAAACTATTTCTTCCTCTTCATTATTCGTTTCCATTAATTCCTCCTCTAATAGCGTCACGTTTGCCTCGTGCCATCTACGCAGACGTTTCACGGATTCATTTTTGGCGTCCTTCCGCCAGGGATCTACCATCGTCGTTTCCAAGGGGAGATTTGGATCCGATCTGGCTTCGACATCCGGCAGCAAAGGCGAGAGAAGTTTCATTGTTTTCTCGGTTGCGTCGGTTTGCCCTTCGCTTAATCTCCGACGAGTCTTCTTGATCTGCCACGAAGCGACTAAATTCTGTGTAGCCACGCTGGAATTGGATAGACGTCTTCGCAGAGATGATGATCTTTGAACAGATTCGGCATCCGATTGCGCCAATTCGCCGGTTAGTCTCTCAAGCTGCGTTTTCTGTTTGGTATTTTCGACAGCCTCTTCGGCAGCGACGGCACGATAGAAACGTTCCATAGCTCGTTCGTGAAGGAGCTCGGTAGAACTGACAGCGTGTCGCATTACCTCCACCACTTGATGCTGCACGCTAAATAATTCTGGCAGAGATAATGATATCGGCGGTGGTATAAGATCGTCTTCGTCTTCCGTCAATTCGATAATATCTGGTCTATTATCTAAAAAAAAAAAAAGAATCATATAATTAATATCATAGAATCATAGAAAAATCATAGAATCATATAATTAATATACAATTTTTCTGTTTTTAAAATATTTGTTATAAGAAGTTCTTATTGATGCTTACTTGTACTGCGTTTGATCCGAGTTTCAGCGCCGTTTGCCGCGTCGATTGCGTCTTTCTCTTGTATTTCATCTTCCGGGTATAAAACCAGCATAAACTCCGAGCTGCCGTGCAATGCGTTCTCGTCATCCTCTCTCAGCATTCCTTGCGGGCTACTCGGTGGAGATACCATGAGCTCATTTACAACAGCTGTCTGTCTTTTTAGAATTGAATTCGAAGATGGAACAAGATCACGGCTAGCCGTGATACGATTTTCCTCTCTTTGTTCCTGAATTATGGGCATAGAAAGCGGAGAGAGACTTCGTCTTTCTCTCGACATGGCTAGCGAGTGCAGTCTAGGATCCTCTTCGACCGGAGAAGAAATCGTAATTATTGCTGGTTTTGGCGACATTGTTCTTTCTCTCCTTACGACGTCTTGCTACAATGCGAAAAATAATTGTATATATTTTTCTTCTAATCTTAGGTCGATTTATTGTATTTTTTATGTATTGTTCTTACCTTGTTTCTCGCATCTGCTGTAATATTTGATCGGTCTGTATGATTTCCATAAGAAACTTCCTGCTTCGCGGATGCGTGCTCTCTCGATCTGACTGGAGGGACCGGAGGTTCCTCTTTTTCTAAAGTATCTGGTGCAAATGTCACTCTACTGTCTGCTCTGGACGGTCTATCCAACATTGCCGTCGCGAGCCGTTGGGTTGAAGCGGACCGCTCCTCGTACACGAAGCGATTATCATCTTCATCGTTTCGTGTTCTAGCTTCTTCCCTCGTCAAACTTCTAGTTCTTTGCGTAGCGATACTCACTTCTCGTTTTTCACCGCGAGATCTGCTGATCTCTCGATGACTCTGCGACTTTTCGCTTAAAGGTGCTGCAACCCTGCAATGTAAAACTGTGAAATTATCCTTGCGCAGAAAATGAGCAAATGTGTAATAAAATACCTTCGTTTAGGTCCTGGAATGAAGATAACATCGCTCTCTTCGCTGGGATCGCTGACTCCGTAAGGATTCTCAGCTTTTACGCGAAATTTGTATTCGGAGCCCTCGATCAGTTCTGTCAACGTCGCGGTGGTGCATCTGCTCGTCGTGGCTTTGAGCCATACCTCCCAGCCAATCTAAAATAGTCCTTGTCAAGTATCTAGAAATTTGCGCAAATCGAAATAATAATTGCCGCGATTACATACTCTGTAGTATTCGATAATATAAGTTCCAATTTTACATCCGCCGTCATCTTCCGGTTCCTTCCACGATAGTGTTACCGATTTGCCTAAAGACATCGCGACAGTTACTTTGCCAGGAGCGGCAGGTCGATCTGTCGATAAAATCAACGTGGTATAAATTCTAAAATTGTGTGACATTATAACATCTAAAAAAAACTAATAGTATTATTAAAACAACATTATCACCTGTCACTGTAACCAGAAAAGACGCGGCATCTTCGCCCAATTTATTCGTAGCTTTGACAGTGTACTCTCCTCGATCTTTCCGTTTGGCATCCGGTATTTTCAGAATGGATTCACCGTCCATCACCTCGAATACGTGTCTTTCATCCTTGGATATCAACTCTCCGTCGTGGTACCAAGTAACGACAGGCGACGGTCTACCTGCTAAGGACACTTTCAATCTAATGGTCTCATCCTGCTCGAAAAGTAGACCATCTTCGTATTGACGCGGCAGACGTATTCGTGGCGATGCTGAATAAACAAATAATATGTTTATTAATTTATTAGTATTGGGAAGAGCCACATTTATGTATTTCTTGTTAATATTGAAAATTTATTAACCTTCGAGTATTAATTTTGCTCTGGTGGCGATGTGACCCGCTCGATTGGTGGCAGTACATTTGATCTCGCCCTCGTCATTAAGCGCGGTCTGATGAATCAAGAGAACGCTCTTTCCATTATCCGTAATGATTCTGGTGCGTCGACTGCTGAAGATCTCGAAACCATCCTTGAACCACGAGATCTTTGGTAATGGTGTGCCAGAGAATTGTACAACAAACTCAGCCTAAAAAAACGAATTTTATATAAGCGCAGTTTCAATAATCGGAAATTTTTATAATTTTACATACAACACCTATATACCTGTTCGTTCTCGAGTGTAATTGTGTCTTTGAGTTCCAGATCAAAATTAGGGGCGCAAGCGGCGACGGCTTTTTGTAAGGTAACTGTGAGCGGCTCGGAGACCTCGCTTGGCCGTGAAAGTCCGACTGCATTTTGCGCTCTGACTCGAAATTGATAACGCCATCCCGGCTCGAGTCCGCTCAGCGTTAGCTCCGGAAAAGCGCAAAGACCGGAAGCGCTTCGTACCCAATGGGAAGAGCCTAGTCGTCGATGCTCAACCAGGTATCCGACGATCGCCGATCCACCGTTACTCGGCGATCTGTCCCATCGTATCGCCACAATATCCGGCTGCGCTTCGTTTGTACCCGATATCAGAATAGGTTTGCCAGGCGGGGCTGGAAGGCCTAAACAGCGTACCAAATTTCTCTAAATTTCTTTATTTTTATTAAAAAAAACATTCTCGCTTGTTAGATAAAAAAAATTATGCAAATTATTACGATAATTTATTAATATTTTCTCTGGTTTAGACCAGATAACACGACACTGATGTCAAGAAATATGTGCTTGCTAGAGCACGATACTTGCTTATGTATATAGAGCAAATTTTCAACATCGGTACGTAAGTGGCGCTCCCAAAATAAAATGCGTCGCGTTTGGCAGTACAGGAGAAGTACTGAACCGGTGCACCGTCTACAGATTGAGTATTTGATACCATTATTTCTTATCTGCTTTCGTATGTCATGCATCGATTTTGCAACTCTCTCAGAAGTAGGCATCGTATATCACTGGAGCTTCATACTATTAATCCATGAGATTAAATCAAGATGTAATTTAAACGGTCTTTCAAACTAAATAGATTAATGGTTAGTAGCAATCTAATTTTAGATGTCATCTTGATGTCGGAACCACCTAATCGAACGTGCTTTAACAATGATTGTTGTAATTTGTTTTATTTTCGTAACAAGACAATCCGAATATTAATTACATTTTTGTAATAATTAATTAAATCTCTATAGAATATTTATTCAAATTATATAGGATGTACAAATAGAAAATAATTTTTTATTCTAATAAGCAAGAAATATTATTATGTCCATACAAATGTATTTCGGAGTTTAGCAATATTTATTGAAGTATTAACTGATAAAACTGGCAAATTCTCCTTTTCGATGCATATTTCATCTATATAGAAATTGTTCGATTTTTGAGAATTCTCCAACTCAAAAAAATTGTTAAGAATTACAAAATTACGTGTGCAAATCAATAGACCGATCTACCTGGATAATCCCAGTGCGCTTTCCTCGAGCTGGTACCAACGGAGATGCTCTTCGAGTAGTCTTTCGTGCTGGCGTTGCCCATTATCGTGCCTCCTCTTCTTCCTCCTCGTCGAGCCTGGCTCGACGATCACTCCGTCCGTGGCCAGTTTTCCGATCGTTGCCACACGTTGAAGTGTCAAAAATATTACATTGACAGTACTATGTGAAGAATGATCGAGGAGCAAAATGATGCTAATCTTTAATGATGACCAACTTGGATGAAAGAGGGGTGGAAAGAGAGGAAGAAAGAAAAAGAGAAGGAAGTGAAAGAGAGACAAAAGGGGGAAAGGAGAGAGATGGACAGAGAAAAAGAGACAGCGAGTATGCTCGATATAGCGCGAGGCTCGGTGCAACACTGGCGAACTTCCCCGTGGTCGACGACTGTAGCGACGCCAAATCTCTTCAGCTTCCTCGACGTCTATCTTTGTCTCGCTGGTGTTTCTACTCTTCATCTATACTCCCTTTAATATATTTTCTCAATAATTAAGAAAAATATATTCTTTGTTAATCACCGGAATAAGTTTGTCAGCTTATTAATAAGTTTTCAAGTTTATTCAGAAAGATATATTATGCAACGCTTGATGTGTATTTTTTTATCGATATTTGTTATCGTAATTTGCATTTAAAAGTTTATATAATTATTGTGTATAGCGTGTATTAATCGTCCTAAAAAATCTCTCCCCGCGCCGCGTCTCGTAATGTGGGACCATGTGGTGCTATGCACCGGTACTATGCAAGAGAACGGTGTCGGCGTTTTGCCATTTTTTTTGCTAGTGCAAAGTGCAAATCATTGAATGATAGAAAATATTTCATCTAAATCGAGTGAATTTATTACATATATTAATAGTTGCGTAATTTTTAACATTAAACCGTTACTTATTTTATCAATTCTTTTATCATATTTTTATTTAAGACAATCGTTTTGAGACATTTTTACGAAGAAGTTATTACAGTATAATATTGCAAAATTGTGTGATTTTTTCTCAAACGCATGTTTTCTTAATGTATTAACTTATAACATACTAGCTCGTAAATTTTGAAAGCATTTGCATTTATATTACAAAAAATAATTTGCTGAATATTTTTCCTGTAGTTAAATTAAAATACACGTATATGTAAATAATTTAAATAGCTAATATATATTATAAAACCCCTTAATTTTTTAACTTTTATAATAATAAAATAATTTGCGATATGTGTGTTAAACTCTGCCCATGCGTTAATTTGAATCGCGCAACTCACAAGATATCTCTTCGCGTCTCTCTCCTGTAATCTCCGTTATTTTTCGTCTAAAATATTTCCGCACCAATACTTTTGCTAAAAAAAGATAAGAAGTGGAAAAAATGCGGTTCCAGAGAGACGAGAGGACGAGTAGAGCCGTGCGTAAAGGAGGGGGAACACACGGTTAATCGGTGCCAAAGTACCGTTGTATCTGAATGGGCCAGAGATGGCTTTCGGTTTTCCTGCAGCCTCCGTCGCAGGCTGCAGCTCCGTGCTGCACCTACCGCGCATTGCGTCCGCGCGCGTTTCACATAGATGCACCTATATACACGTGACAATTTTTCTTCCGTCATCAACGCGAGGCACGTGCGACGGACTCGGGTCAACGAGGCGCGACAGTTTCCTTGTTGCTCACGTGAACACGCAGGTGTAACTTTTGGAGCCAAAACAGCTGTTCGTTAAATATTCGACTTCCACAAAATGCATTCCAAACGCATACTATACCGTGCGCCGCACCTACGCAATGTTTCGTTGTGACACTTCGCGTGCTTCGGATGCAGTGCAGCGTCGATGGCTCGTGGAGATCGTTATTTTAGATTGGTGAGTACCGTTAATATAAATAAGTGTAATATAACAACCTGCAATTATGTAATTAAAACATCTTCCGATGCATAAAACTTTGAGAGTAAACAGTGCGGCCTCGATCTGCGTTTTATGTATTCTTTTTCTATTCAATTAACGAAGATAAGATAAGATAGAATTTAATCGTACAACTGAATTGTTTTTTTTTGTTGAACGCAATCTATTACTAGTTCACATTGCACAGATACACATGATTTGTGCGATAGCTAATTAATTATTTTAACTAATTAACAAGATAATTATAAAATTTATGTCTTATCAATAGATGCGGTCTTTTTCAGATCGACTACAGATATTCGTAAAAGATTATTTGAAATGATTTTCTTTTACAAGCAGTTATAGAAATGCCTATACAAAATTTGAAGGCAGAAGATATCCTGGAGGCTCTAGAATCGAAGCTCGCATATGTTCCAGGTGGTCGTGATCGCGACGGACGACCTTTGATAGTAATTAGCGTTCCATCGGAACTCGACCCAACAACGAAACCGAAACTAGAGTCCCTCATCTTATATTTTATATCAATTTTTAGGTATAGAGTGTTATTTTATTAATTTTATAAATTAAAAAAAAAATGTGTTATTATATCTATATATATATATTTAAATGATTTAAACTTTTTGATGATTAATTAGCGAAGAGACGAAAGAAAACGGTTTGGTTTTAATTGTGGACGCGCGTCGCGGTGCATGGCGCATAGCTAGGTCTTGTATCAGGCTATCCACAAATCTTATAGGATCTAAAGTCGTTTCTGTGATCGTCGTACGACCTGATGGCTTCTGGGATAAACGTGTCGACAGTTGTACCAAGTCGCACAAAGAAATCGAAGTTAGTATATCAATTTAAAAAGTATATTAATTATATTTAGCGGGTAAATTTTTAATTTTTATTCATTGTTTTAGCCAATATACGTTACTCAAACAAGACTGCACGTTTATATTGATTTTTCTCAATTGCCATACGAGTTAGCAGGTAACAAGGCATACAATCATGTCGAGTGGATTAAGAAACGTATGGTAAATTAAACATTTGTGACCGTAAATATGAATAAAATCTTTAATAAAAGTGATACAATAACTTCTTAATAAGTTAATTTATTATTTTATAGAAAATAGAAGATTATTCGAGAGACGCGTTGGAGCTTATATCAAAAATGACAAATTTGCATCAAAGATTAAATACTCTCGATGGTATTCGTATGACACAATCGGACGATGACATAGAGTCTTATTGGGAGATCGGCACAGAATTGTTATCAACTGCACGTCAAATACTCCAATCAGGTCTGCATATCATTTCTTTTATCTATTAAATGTTTAAAAATCATAATTACAATAATTCAAAATATTAAGCAATAAATACAATAAATAATTAAATTACAAAGTCTTGTTAAAAATTTAATAATTTGTTTTCAATATAACGATGTTTCTTATATTTTAAAATTATGGAAAACGGTAAAAAATTTGTATTTGTTTATTAGGCAGGAGTTTAGTGAGTTCCATGAGCAGAGAGTCCTCCAAAGATACTTTAGATACTATTAAAAAAATTCATAAACTACTCGATTCAATCGAGTTAAAACAGGTACTTTTAATTGCATTTATAACTAATATTCATATTTGTTTCGTATTTAATTAATTTGGTTTAATTCTCATTTTCAGATGGACATTGAAAATTCGTGGACGGAGATGGAACGAAATTTTGATACTGCCAGAGTGATCGAAGATCTCGAGCAAGGTGTATCGAGCGTTACCGATTGGATCCTGGGTCCGGCGGACACAATGTTGAACTCTTGTTGTCAGGTTGGTTTCGACGTTTCCTCATCCGAAGAACTCCGAAGACAGCATGAAAAACTGGAGCTTCAATGTCGGGTAAATAACGCGAAAAAAATCTTATAATTCTTATTTTAAGAGAGAATATATTATACAGAATAATATATTTTTGCAGGAAACCTATGGACGATACGCAGAATTACTTCACAAAATCGATAGTCTCCCTAATAGCAGTCTACCGGAAGATTTAAAGTCTCAGAGAGATTTCATGGACTTTGTGTGCCGCAGTTTCGCTTCGCGACTTGAAAGGCGCAGAAATGTATTGATCACTTCGCAGCGATTCTTCAGGCTTGTTTCTGAGGTAAAAGTCGATTGCATATCAATTAATAAACGTTTTTCCGTGCTTCTTGTTATTAATTAGATGTTTACAGTATTTCGACAGAACAAGCGAGGTATTTGAACAGTTGGTTATGGGTAGCAGAAACTACAATTTCTCTCAAGCGAGCGTTAAACTCCTAACATTGGAAAAAAGTCAAACAGTTTTAGGTAGAAGCAAAAAGTAATATTATACAATATTCATACGCACTTGATCTCACATTTGAATAATTTTTCAGATAGTTTAGAGCGGGAACTCGTAAAAGAAGGTGAAAAACTGTCGGATGTTCTCTCTATGCCAGTGAAGGATGCGCTTGGTCGAGAAGTTTGTGTCAATTATAACGAGGACATCATCAATGTGAAAGATATTTTAGATGCAACAAATGCCAGAAAGAACATATTTAATGACAGCGTAGAAATACAGAAGCTGTCACTAAAGCAAATAGCTTTGATACATATGTACGAGAGCGATGCCGAACAAGTGAGTATAAAATAAAATATGATATAAAAAAATGTAATAATGAAAAAATATAATAAAAGTTACATTTTCTAGGCTGTTAAATGGCTAGACGATCTATTCAACGTTCTACTGGAGAATCACATGGAAGTTGGCTGTAATGCAAAAGAAATACAATCGCAAAAGGAAGAGCATCAATCCTTTCAGGAAACCGCAAAGGTAAAGTACGATTGATATAATAAAATAAAACGAGGATAACAGTAACTGTTTATTTTATGCATAACTGTTAAATACAATGAGATAAATATTTATAGGGAACTTATGAGTATGGTGGTCAGCTGGTGAATGGCGCGCGCGTACTGAGATTATCTTGCAGAATATCTTTAGAGTGCAACGCCAGTCTTTTTTCAAGATTGCGACAAGCCTGGCGGCAGTTTCGATCTGTTAGTCAGGAACAACTAACAAGATTGCGAGTATGCGCTGTCTTCCACAGAAACGTCGAAGATGTACGAATGTAAACTAATACATACGAAATCGATATATGAATTTGAATATTAGCTTGGACATTTACTATTTAAAAAGAAATTTATTATTTTGCGTATCATGTAATTATCTATTTTTTACACTTTCCATTGATTTCTTTAAAGCACTGTACCAGATTACAAAACCTGGTTGAAACTGTGACGGCTCTACATCATGTCGCAAAAGACGAAGACTTAACGAAATCACGTATCAAGGCAGATATAAGAGATATCCTTGACAATCGAGAGAAACTTTTATTGGAAGTTGGTCGGATGGTGAGATTGGGCCGCCTTCTCAAGACGAGATTGAAGGAACCTCTTTGTCATCAACAGTAAGCACAACAAATATTTGTTCGTTATTTTAAAGAAAAATATTTTTATAAAAAATATATATAAAATGGAATATAGAAAAATTAATTTTTGCTAGAGGTAAATAAATAAAGTCGCGATTATTTTTCAACATCGGATTATCGTATTTGCTGCAGCAGTACTATTTTTCAATCAATTTTTGTTGTAAAAAAAAGTATCTTTCCTTATATATTCAACATATATTACTTAACTAGCGAGAGTGGTAATACGACTGGTCAAACGCCTACGTGTTTAACAGTGTGTCAGTCCATGGCCGGCTCTCGTCGAGATAGCTCCTGTAATCTAGAACCGGTGCATGTAAGATAAGTGATATTTCATAAACGCCCTCGTTCGATTACGCTTACTCGCGCATTACTTCCTTATTTTCATATTTTTACTTTTATTGCAGTTTTATCGGCTTGGTATTTAGCTCAATTCATAGTGGCTGTTATGTGGATCACATGTCGCTAATTGAACAGGCAAATATTTACAAAACCTTGTTTTACTAAAAATATCACTTGGCGATTTCCAAGCTTACACTTCGTGACAAAGTTGTCTTTCAAACTTGTTGATTCTAATTTCTCGCGCCGAATAGACACATTATCGCGGATTATTGCAATTTTCATGGATATCGAAACATCGCTCCACAATTCGTTGGCTTCGTTCCACGGCCGTGCCGTAACTTAAAACTCGGCTGGTAGCAGGAATCTCGCCTCGATAATATTTCGACGAACTGGTTTGCATCGTGAAGAATCGCGCATCGTGTTGCGTCATAAAAATTATTTCTGGCATATTTATCACAGGAATAAAAAAAAAAACAAACTTATAAGACATTGAGATTGTTATTTTTTAAATATTTTCGAATAAAAAAACAATTAAAAATTTTTTTTATTTTTTAGATTTAGAAGGCAATCGATAGCGGTGCGCTTTCGTAGAATGTGTATGATCTGCTAAATTAGAACTTTGCCCCAAATTGCAGAGTCCATATGGCGACTGTACTGTCAATGCACTGTCAATTGTCAATTGCATAATCTACTCTAATGTTACCTTAACAATACTGAGCATTAGTGTGGCATTTTTTTATTGAGCATGTTTCTAAATCACGTTTAATTGTTAGAAAGAAGTAGAATAAATATTCTGAAACTAACACATGTGTTAGAGAAAATTATTTATGTATTTTTTGCACTGTCATGGAGTTATTATAAGAGTAACGCCGAAAGAGAGTAGTGTTAACGTGTGAAGCTTGTGGAACTCACTGAAACTCTCTGTAGACGTTATTCAGCGATCGAAGGTTTTTAGTCCAGAAAACATCTATTTATAGAATATGAAATGACCAACAAATTCGCTCTCTAGAATGTCCGAAGCCGAAGATGCTTCGATCCTCGGCAGTAATCTGACAGCAGTGGAAGCTATCTCGGCGAAATTGGCGGAAGTTACGCGTCTTGCGGAAAAGCTGGATGCAAGACTATGCGAAGCTGGAGCTCGAACTCGACCAGTGTCTATTCCTACCGCGGTGACGTCCTCCTCTTCGTCCTTGCTCTCGATATCTGCCATGTCGTCGTCAAACACGCCCACCCGTACAATTTCTACTGCGACTGCACCGGCGTCGGATGTGACAGTCGCGTCTGTAATTGCTCAAATGCATCCAGTGTCTTCGGAAACAACCAGTGCGTCTGCCACAACTAGTGTTGATAAGTCCATTATTGCTACAGCTGAAACACCTGACGAAAGTTCGCTCCACATCCGTTCACATTCCATGGAGGATGTTGAAAGATTAAATAAAGATGCCAAGGTACATTAATACGTTTCAATATTAATTGACAGACGTTACTTGAAAATATTTTGAAATATTATTAACGTACGTATTTTTATTTTTATAGGAACTTACCGAAAATGCTCGTAGCGAAAGTGCAGCAGAAGAATACAATGTAGAGGGTTATATAACTGCGACTGAGTGTTCAACTACTCCACCTCTGCGTTCCAGGAGCGAATCTTTCGTTACAATGCCGGAATGCGAAGATTTTTCTACCGCGACACCTGTGACGTCTTCGTGTTCTGATTCCACTTGGTACTCATACATCATTTTTGACCTGTGATCAAATAAGATCGAAACGTTCATATTTCATCGACATTTTTCATCAGTTCTGAATATTCTAATATTTTTAGGTTGGCTACCGAAACGTCTAAATTAATAACTACAACTACACCTCATATTTCTACCCCGAGCAACGAAAATCCGCTGAAATTTGCTGAAACAACAGCCAGTACTATTTCTACCGTCAACGAAATAAAACCAACGACGCGAATTGAAAGGATGGACAAAATCACTGACGTATGTAATATTTAATTTGATTAGAGAACGGAATATTATTTTTCAAAATTATCACAGTTTTAGCAGTTTTCAAGTTGCAAAATTCAGACAATTAAAATAACTTCCAAAACCGATATTTTTTAAATATTTATCTTTGCGGATTGCAGAATTTATTTATTCTTTACGTATAACAAATTATGTAACTTTTTATGCAGGAGCGATCAGGCAGAATTGTAAAAGAAGTTACGGAAACGACTGTTTTACGCGTGTCACACGATATTCGATTAGATGTAGCCTCTTACAAGTGCGTGTCAAATACCGTGCAAGATCATCGGCAACATGTCGATGTGAAAGATATTCAAAATATGGAGCGTGTGTTATTAGAGGAATCTCGTGACGAAACGAATGGCGTTCATCATGATCTTGATCTATCAATCTCCAGTCAGTACTTTATCTTAATGACTTATTAACTTAATTGCAATCTACTATTTTATTATTAATTTTTTAATAGAAGAATCTGAAAAATATATCGATAAATCTGCAAAAACAGTTCAGCCGGATGAAAATGTCACAACGAAACTCACGAAGATCCGAGAACACACGTTGAATGAAACCTCGCGTTCTGACTTGAAAGAATATGAGGACGTGTCGATGTCCTCGCAAGATTTTTTACGACGTCACGAGGATAGTGGTATTGAAATGTCGCCAATAAAGAAAGATGACAATTTGGAAGGCGAGGATTTTCTCGAGAGAGCGAGGAAGGTGAGTCTGATCGAGAGTTTTTTTGATGATTGACAGAGAAAGTTCGCTGGCAAACGTAATTACGGTCACGAAACCGCGGATTTAATCAATTTCTTTGAGTTTTACGTAAGCACAAGAACTGCTTGGTCATTAACTTTAAAACTTATTGCATTTTAATACAAACTAACTATGTAGAATGTGCGCGAATAACTTGCATTTTTCTAAATGATTTTAAGCTTTGTATTTTTATCATATTAAATACAACTACCTAATTAATTCTAACATCCCATAATTATTTGCAGCTTTAATGAAGACGAATTTTACATACGAAATCTGACAAATGTGTCTTATCGACATAGGCCTAACGATTCTGCTCAGCCATAGAAAAAAAAAAAAACATTTGAGGACCAGTTTACGTTGCGAATATTTGTTATGTTGCAACGGTAGGATTAAAAGAACAGCTAATTGTTAATTGCGCATTTGTTATGTTTTTGCCGTCTGTATTCTAATCGCAAATCAAAGTTTTATTTAATACGTTCTTGTTCTGGTGTGTATCGCATGACTTGTTATTTTTATAAATAAATAATATTAAACAAAAATTGTTAATTTTTGCGAGATACCCGTTTGAAAGATACCGGGTGAGCATACGCGCGACGACCTTCTTTCGCTTTATGATCGCTCCACTTTCGTTCGAGTCTGCTGCACGGCGCAGCTCCGCTCTGTAGATCATGCTCGATGAGCGCGACGAAGGTGAGCGGGAGGCGGCCGGCCGGAGGCTAAACCGGAGACCGGAGGCCGTACCGCGCCATGCCGGTTCAGTCTTGGTTCGGCTGGTTACTGCAACCGATCGGCTGGTGACGTGATACACCCGTGACATGTGTCACGCGAGTGTTGCTGCCCGTTGTTGTCGTTATTATTGCAATTAATTAACGCCGCCCGAACGCAAATCGATTTTAGGTGATTGCCATACCGTGCCAAGTAAAAACCACACTACGAGAACGGAGCAAATAGTTTTGTTTTAAAAAATCATACTTAAAAAATCGTAACTTGGTGCATTGCATTAAAAATATCCTTTGCAAATGTCACTGCCAAAAATTATGCATTTTCAACATGTTGAAAGAAAAAAATGGAAAAAAATGAAACAAGAAAGTTTTTCTTTCAATTTAATTTGTCACAGTTAAGCTGTAAATTGATTTAAATTATAATTATGTATTAGGGCCACAAATATTGGATATTAATATTGATCGAACAGCTTTGTTAATAAAAGTTAAATTGAGTAATTTTCTGATATAATAGAGGAATCACAATCTTACTCAACAAAAAAAAAACGATAAAAATGTTCTTTCAAAACATACAAAATTTTTTTATAGCTTTGACTGGTCTTTTCACCGGATTATCTCCGGTCGTGATTTTCATCGTGATGTACTTGTCGTCGAAAGAACGCTACCAGTCAGTCCGGTTTTATTCTACCATTTGTTCGTCCCTATAGATGACGTCATCGTATAAAGATATCTGTATAAGTATAAACATAACGTGAATGTAGATATTTTGGTACGCAAGCATATATTTTATAGGTCGTAATTTTAAAAAATTGTTTGGTCGTAAATTAAAAAAATTGTTTAATGATATTGTTCTTGTTGCGTGCAACAGAAATATTCCACTTCCATTTTTTATATTAAGAAATTGTTATAAATTGAGCAAAAGCCGTGCGTTAAAAAGATGCCGCTTAGTCGTAGGAAAGGTTTTGAGGAAGATTTTATCGTCTGACAGACATAATCGTTCTTCCTCGTATGTTCGTCGGAATTTTCGTACCAGCGTCTTTGGCAAAATGCCAAGGATAACGTCAATCAAAGAAGACAACTGCGCCAACTGGAGAATATAATTTTTTACCTGTAAAATCTTTGAGAATATCGATGAGCAAGATATTTATTGTGTCGCGTTTTAAATCGATATACGTCATTATGATATATTTAGCTCCCGGCATTGAAATCACCCGCCGGTCGAAAGGAATGACATCATAATGTCACATAACATTGTCTTAACTTTTTAGCAACTCGCCTCTCAACTATATTGCATAATTTATATTGCATAATTTATAGAATATCACAGTGCACAGTGAGTATATAATTTGACCACGCTAATCATATCGCAAATATAATTGGCAATCGCCCAATCGACTAACGTTCAGAAACATTTGGCACTCGCGCGAAAGAGAAAATTAATGATGATGGTGGACGGTCCTGACTCGATGGAGGCACACACGCTTCCCGAAGGATCTGGTGAGATGAATTCGGGAATGGTGATGCAGAGAGCCGAAGATACGCCGCAACAAATCATCACTCCGACTACCACTATAAGCACCATAGCTGTGCAAAGCGGAGATACGCGTGTAGTAATCGCTCTACTTCAAGTAAGAAACATCATGCTTTTCCGCGATTTAACGCAGATAATTTTTATTTATTTTATAAAAAAAGATTTGAACAATTAACAATTCCTTAAAATGTTGAACATTAAATGTTTCATCAAAATTGTTAAACTGTTTCATTTAAATAGTTCTCGATAAAGGATAATCTTGCGCTGCGATCTCGCGTATATAACACTATGGTGTAGATATTTCGGGATTCAGTTGCTTCGGTCTATAGCTATTTCCGAGTCCTCTCGAAACCGTAAGCGTTTTAGGTATCCGCTGAGCAAAACGAGTCTCCCGAAACTCCACGAAGGATAAATTTAACCGCTAGGTACAGTAACTCCCATTACATGCCACCATGACGAGATACACCCATCTCACATCGTTACGTTGAATTCCGAAGTACTTTAAAATCACAATCGTACAGGCAATGTAAATTGCATTTCATACGTCCTGCAGCTAATTGCTAGTTGAAAATCTTTATTGCTTCAATTATTTTGCGGGGAGAGAAAAGCGGCGATATGAAATATTTTGTACGATTCAACGAAAATTATTTATGTACGTAAGCCTTTCTCCCAATCTATAATTTGAACTGTAATTTCTGCAAGAGCCGATGAATTCGATAAATAGACTGAGTAATCGGTTAGCTCGTATCGAATCAAGAGAGATCTCTCTCGCGGCAAAGATCCGTACACTCTCGTATAATCTAACAAACCGGTATTATGCGAGACGGCTCGGGGCGGCCCGGGGCCCAACCCGGCCCGGCTCCGTGGCGGAGAGGCGCAGACGATTCTTCCTTTTACCGCACCTTTGCCTATATCGTACCTACGATCTAACGACACTGACTTCTACACCCGAGAAAAGAGAAAAAGATAAGTGGGGGACTCCAGACACGTGAGATTTCTTCGACACGGTTAGATACCTACTAAATCGCGGACGTGTGAATTTTCTAAGCGCTCTTTCATTAGCAACGCTCCTTTAACAATCCTTTTTATTAATCAGACTGATCAGGAAATTAAATAAGCAGCACGATTAATTTGATTACTAATAGTCGTTTCTTTTTCTGAATTCTATTAAGGTGCCGTTTTTTACTTGACCGAGCTGCCTAGCTCGATTTCACGCGAATATGGCCATATTTGGTCACATCGCAGTTATTTCATTGCGCGCTAATTTTTTTCTCGCGTGTACACGTTTTATGGAATCGCGTACAATTTTATCCGTCGGTCGCGCTTTCACTCTGACTGCACCACAAATTGCATTGTACAATTTTATTATGATTTCGCATATTTTTAGCAAATACATCAAGAATTCAATAATTGTGTTTCTCGCAATGAGTTTAAAATATCGAAAGCTATCTTAGCCTTTAAGCCTTTAAGAATAATTATAACAAAACGCTGTATCTTTGCATGCATATTAAAAAAAAAATGATTTTATTACTGACATATGGCGATACGAGACGAGAGAACTGGTCAATCCAAACCTGGATATTCGGCAGTCTGCCAAAGATGAAAATGGAAACATATCTTGCCCCTTTCTGCGGCCCAACTTCGTTTAAACTCACGAGGTCGATGAACTGGAGGTCGATCCCTGTCTCCACTGTCTCTCTTCTCATTTCTTTTTTTCCCCATCTTCTTTTTAATAATGCTAAACAGAGAAAAATTTCGGTTACTTCTAAAGCTGATCTACAAAATTATATGGAAATCGCTGTTAGAGATGATCGAAAAATTTATTGGAAAAGAGAAATAATTTCTTACATGTTTACGTGTGTGGCTTTATTATAATATATTTTGCGATCGTCTTTATTTTTGTCATAATGTATTATAATAAAATATTAAATACCATTTTTTACTGTCATAAAAATAGCGACTTTACAGACCGAGCAGTATCTAATCATACTCAGTTTTATTATGCTAATTATTTATGTTATTGGAAGGTTTCCAGTTTCGTTACCACATTGTTCCATTATCGTTTGTCCAGAGCGGCGAATGGCTAAAGCTGAAAATACTCGAGCTACAACCAGAACTAACGAAACTTGGTGCTTCCGTAAAAGAAGCGACGGAACTCTCGAATGCGCACGATCAAGTACTACTTCGATTACAGGTGAAATTAAACGTACTAAACTCCAAACTAAACAAATTACATATAAAAGTAATATTAAATATGATAAATTAGATCGTTTGGAGTTTTTATTAATTAGAATTTTGACGTAATCACGTAGAATAAGCAAAGTCCGGTGGAGGAATTATTACGGCAAGCCGATCAATTAATTGCGACCCAGAGACCTAGAGCGGAAGTATACACGGCCATGGCAGAGACGTTGGGCCAGGCTTGGCGCGATGTGAACCAACTTTTGGAACGTCGTAAAGAGATACTCGATTCCAACGTATTGTTCCAATGGTAAAGTGTAACTTAATATGCGATTCGCACTTTACATCGATCGCTTGACAAAATCCATTTCTTTTGTAGTCGAGCGACAGAGTGCAAAGAGAATATGGAGGCGTTGGAAATGGCGTGTAACGACACATTACTGCCGATCGAGATCGAAGCAGTGAGAAGCTTTCTAACGAAGATCCAGGATCTACGCAAAGATATGTTAGAAGCGCTGATGGGTGCATTGCAGGAAGGCAAGGCGTTGCTGGACAAACTCAAGGAATTAGCAAACGAGGGCACTTTAGACTCTAGGCCAGACAACGTCAAAGATGAGGCTAAGCACGGTGCGTTATATGTTCATTCAATATTTGTGAATAATTATTTGCTTATCAATCAGTTGGCTCGCCGTCATAAGTCCAAGATTTCTGATGTGGGAATATTTTATTAGCTGTGTTACGAGTCGAAAGATGGCTGGAGGAACTTCACGACAGAAGACGGCTCATCGAGGCGTCTTTCCGTAGTCGGAAAACTCAGTTGGAGCAATGTCTCGCTCTCGCACTGCTCGCGACTGATCTTCGTGATCTCGAAGAAATTCTCAACGACAGGATGGCTGCGTTAACCGCCAGTTGCGATCAATTGGGAGATTCTACATCTAGCGTGGAATTGCTTCTCTTTGAATTAAAGAAATTGCAAGCCGAAGCAAAGGTGCCTAGTCAGTTAAATATCGTCAAAAATAATCGGATAATGTTTCATCAATGTTCCATTTCATATATAATTTTGATAATATTTTTATATATTTATATTATTATATATAATTTATATATATAATTTATATATAATTTATATAATTTATATATAATTATTTCAATGCTCTTTAGGAGTTTCAAGACAGAGCCATTAAGATAACTAAATCGACCGAACGATTAGTGTCATCGGGACACTTTGCTGGCGAACAAGCGACCGAACAGGCGTACGCGATTCTTAGCGTCGCCGCCGATTACATCAACGACTTGGATCAGTATAATGCGCTATTAAACAGAGCAATGATCTTTTTCGATTCTGCACGATCGGTGAGTGTTTTGAAATTTTTTCACTCACTAATTGATTAATTAAGTTCAGAGCAAATTATAATTTTATTCGATCGCATTTATCGATTCAAACTTAATTAATATTATGCAATGTGCGTAGGCTATCACAAAATTGGACCAGTTAGAAATTCAATTAATGACAACGGATCATCCTCTTTATTCCGCGCGGCTCGCACGTTTTCACGCGCAAACTGTGACTACAATAGAAGACGTAATTTCAAAACCTTTGTCGGAAGGATACGCATTATTGGACGCCACGGGAAGAGGAGCGCCTGGTGCCGAGGTCAGATCAATCGATTAATTCCGCTAATTAAACGTTGCATATTAATTATCACGCCTTAAGTCAAGCCGTCAGTGAGTGGCTTGTCTTTGTTCTTATAAGACAACCGCGTCGTAAATAACTCGTATCTGAATTTTATTATACATATTATTGTGAGTACGCAAGTTTCTTATTTGCTATTATTTTATTTAAAAACAAGATAAAACGCAATAAAACTTAAGTGACATAATAACAAATGTATATATTATGTTTAGGGTGTAAAAAATACTGTCGAAGAACTGGAAAATCGCAAGATTCGTTTGACAGAACGGTGTACGGCTCACAAAGAGGAAAGTCTGGAAATTTCGAGGATGCTTACCACATTTTTGGATAAGCACGACGCTTTACGAGCTTGGTTGACTAGCGTCGCCGAGGCCTTTCTTCAAGGACATCAGGACATGGGCAGCGATTTGGCAATGGCATGCGATTTCCGTCGAGTACATTGTCAACTGCTGACCGACCTGGAAAATAAAAGTGAAGAGGTGGATCATTTAGAATTGGAAATTCTTCCCATCATAGAACGCCTGGATGAAACACAAAAATACGAATTGCGATCAAAAATAAAAGATCTTGAGGACGAGTGGACGAAAACGAAGATCGCGTTGGTAAAAAGAATCGAATTAGGCACGATTTATATACAGTTTCACGAAATTGTCGAAGAATTTACTAATGAAATCGATTCTATCGATAACGAATTGAAAAAATGTGAGGATGCGTTAGATGAGGCCAGAATCGACGAGCTGGAAAGAAGATGGAAGTCTCTTGAACCTTTTTACAAAAAACTCGATAATTGTGCTAAAGCGTTCCTCGATGAAACAAGCAATGTAAGTATTTCATAAAGAGAGCATTCGTAAATTAAAAAAAATTTAACATTATGAAAAGGAATTTAAAAATATATAAAATTATATCTACATTCTTTTTTCGCAGGTTGATGATCCTTATCTCGATATATCGCGAGCTTGCTTGTGTGTTCAAACTCTTTTAGAGAAGTTTGCCAATCGACAATTGATTGTGACAGAATCATGGGAAAAGTGGCAGACTACTGTCGAAATTACAAGACAGAGGCGAATTGAGTGCGAGCGGAAAATTGAAGAAAGCACGAAGGTAGGTCTCTGAAAATTTCATGTTTTCTTTTCACAATGATTTCTATCTTAAGTTTAAATTTTCTTAGATTTGTTTGCATCGCATCAGTTTTCAACTCATTTTGCATTTAAAATGAAATAAGCGCAACAAAGGAAATTTACATATATTAGAAAAAGATTTTTTCCATTGCAGACATTAGCGTGGACTTCGAAATTTGAGACAACGCTGTATCCAGTGATAACAGTTCGATCCTCTAAAATAATCGATATTCTGGATAATTTGAAAGATGTAAAACCACGGGTTCTACCTGAATTAAACAGCGCTCGTCAAGAATTGGACACTAGAATCAAAAACATTCAAGTGTTTGTCGAAAAAGGTAATTAAAAGACATTTATGTGTTGCATGTTTTATTAAGTAAAACATATTTAATTAGAAAATGATTAAATCAGGTGAAGCTAAAACAACTGAGCAGATCTCAAGAAGACTTGTACAAATGTACGAAAAAATAAATACAGTTGCCAAAGATTACGAAACACTATTGGAATCTTTAATCTCCTTCTTTAAAAATCTCGAAGAGGTAAGATAGATTTTTGAATGTTTTAAACATTATAAAACTCATACATAACCATCTGAAATATGCAAACCATTTTTTGTATTTTTTCAGATTGAACATAAAATTGATCAAGCAAAGCAAGAAGCCACACGTGTGTCAGGTTTTTCAAAGTCAACTGCCGTAGATGGCGCATTAAACGAACTCGAGATATTGAAAACATTTATTGCGGAATCTTTGCTACGAGTACGAACGAAATCTGAAGAAATAATCGACAACATTAGAATGCAGGAGCCTCCAGAACCAGCGACGCAAGACATCGAGAAACTGAAACGTGCCATCGACTCCGTGGTTATTGAGTTTGAATCATTCCAAAGACAAACATCCGATTATCTCGAGAAACATCGACGACTTTGCATCTTTAAAGAGGACATCGAGAAAATCAACTCGGATCTACACGATTTAAACGAACAGTTAAAAAATATAGATGGAAGAATCGGTGACAATTTATCGACATCAAAAGCGACATTGGCTGCTTTTGAACAATTTGAACAAACTATAACGGTAATAACGTAAAGATAATTTTTTAAGCCAAAAAACTTTTTTATTATTAACTTATATCTTTGTTATTAGATCCTGGAGGAAAGAATTGAGACGTTTGTGAGAAAGACTGAAGAGACGATTGTTCCGTTAACACCACAAATAACGGACGAGATTTTATCTCTGCGAAACAGATGGGATCATCTGAGGAAACGCGTGCGAGATACCAAAAAACGAATGAATTTAAGTATCGAGTATTTCACGCTCTTGGAGGAAGCCAAACAGTGGTTTAGAGAAGGCAGTAAACTTTTGGTGATTGTCGCGCGTAAAGCTACAACTGTGAAATTGCCTGAAGAAGCCACCGAATTACTGCAAGAAATTAATGCTTATATCAAACCGGGTGAAGAGCAGCAGGAAAAGAGAATTGAACAGCTGAAGCAATTATCGACGATAGTTTTCGGTAAGCGACATCACATTTATGGAAAAGAATGTATCAGGTGAAAAAATAAATAAATAATTTATTTGTTTGCAACATGACACAGGTACAGATAGACTTCCGCAATTCAACGAAGTGGTGGTAGAAAATCGGCAAATGCTAGATTCCTTCGAAGTCGTTTCTTCTGAATTGCGCACCCTGAGCCAGAATTTGCAGAATGCCGAGGATCTTCGGGAAAGACTGCGAATTGAGAAGTTAGAAGCTGACAAGAAACTGGAAGCTGCTAAAATAGAAATGGCCGCGGCGGAAGCTGCCAGAGTGGAAGCGGAAAATGCGAGGAAACTTGCGGAACAGCTCGCGGCCGAGACCTTGGACAAGGCTGCAATTGAGGCGAAAAAGTTGAAAGAGGAGGAGGCGCGAAAAATCGTCCCTCCTGTTTCTCACTCCGTCTCTGCCCAGACTGATGAGACCGTAGTAGAAGAAACGATTACTTCCGCCGTGACGACGAAAGAGATTCACATCCTTCAGAAGGTACTGTCAATAGTGTACTAATTATCATTAATTTTGCAATCGTAATTTATGCCCGTTACATTCACAGATGGAAGTCGAGAAAAATGTTCCAGTGATTCAAAAAGAGGCTAGTCCACCAAGAAAACTTGTATCCGAGGAAATACACGATGAATCCTATGTTGAAAACGTGCAAACAGAAAAAATTGTATCATTGGCTCCAAAATTCATAATTCCTTTAAGCGACGCGACGGTTCAAGAAGGCAAAGAATTCAATTTCGAATGCCGTTTAATCGGCCAGCCGACGCCAGAAGTAGTCTGGTACAAAGATGGAATATCGATTTTGAACAATCCCGATTATTTAACGACTTACGTAAACGACGTTTGTACTTTGAAAATAGAAGAGACATTCGCTGAAGACTCCGCCAAGTATACTTGCCGCGCGTTTAATATTGTTGACTCTGCCGAAACATCAGCCACTCTCACTGTCAAAGGTAACTCAATTTGCTACTACCTTGCACACTTGTTTTATTAAGAAAGAATCTGTAAAATAATATAATTAATCGCATCTTTACAATTTTTAACGCAGAAACTATCTTGGAGGAACAACCCAGCGCTCCCGTTTTCGTGAAAGAGTTGCAGGCTTCCACCGTGAGGGAAGGATCCTCACATAAATTAGAGTGTACTGTTGAAGGAAATCCTCTTCCAACGGTGCAGTGGTACAAAAACGATACAAACATCGACAATTCTCCGGACTATGCTATCACTTTTAACAATGGGGAAGCTATTCTAAAGTTTGATGAAGTCTTTTTGGAAGACAAAGCTTTATATACCTGTAAAGCAACGAATCAATGGGGACAATCGTCTACTACTGCTTCTCTCGATGTGCAACGTAAGGCTATTTCTAATGATACGATGAAAAATCGTGCGTTTCTTTTTTTATTCACGTAAATATCGATTTTAGCCGCGCAAATTACTACAAAGAAACCATATTTTGTGGTGCCGTTGTCAAATGCGATGGCCAGAGCGGGCCAAAAAGTAAAACTAGAATGCGAAGCTAGCGGAGATCCAGTTCCTGAATTAATCTGGTCTCACGATGGAAAGCCGATTGAGGAAACTAAATATCATAAGGTAAAAAAACATATAATTATTGTAATACGTTTAATAAAATATGTTAACATTTAATATCTTTTCAGATTCAAACGGATGGTGCTCGAACAAGCTTGATTATTACGGAAGCTTTTCCGAAGGACGCCGGATGTTATACAGTAATCGCCAAAAACAAAGTCGGAGAGACTACTGTATCTTGCACCGTTTCAGTGAAAGGACGCTTGCTTCACGAAACCAGCGAATCCGATTTGGTTGTTTGCAGCGACACGGAACCAGTAGTTCCGAAATTTCATTTATCTTTGCGGGATCTTAAAATACAAGAAGGACAATCAGCTAGACTAGATTGCGTGATTGTAGGTCAGCCTGAACCGGAGGTAAATTCGTTCACTTGCTAAATTCCGTAATTCTGCAATTCTTTTTAATTAATTTTTTTCTTCTTTAGGTGATTTGGTATCACGACGAGCAGCCCGTGAAAGAATCGTCAGACTTCCAGCTACTTTTCCAAGGTGATAGATGTTCACTAGTTATTCACGAAGCTTTCCTGGATGATGCTGGCACATATAAAGTAGTTGCCATTAATTCTGGCGGCGAAGCTTCTAGTCAATGTACATTAACAGTTATGCGTATGTATAAATCATTCTTATTTCTTTAATAAGCAGTGAAAAATTAAATATGTTATATTTGTATAATATCTTTCGTTATTTGCAGCGGCATCTACCATCCCGGATGTAATCGATCGAAAGAAGGAAGACGAAACTCTCGTTAGTGGTTCAGCACCGAAATTCGTTAGACTTCCGACGGATCTGCTTGTGGCTGAGGGTGAAGATGCGATCTTCGAGTGTGCCGTAACTGGAGAACCGAAACCTGATTTGAAATGGTACTCGGACGACGGCGAAGTCATTCATAACGAGAGAATTTTAGTAAGTGCATTATTATTATTATTATAAGTATAAATCGCATACTGCTTCATTTAATGCTTAATGTAAAATTAATATTTTATAACTACCACAGATCAAAGAACGAGAGGATGGAACAAGATTCTTGAAAATTTTATCCGCGATACCGGAAGATAAGGGCAATTACGTAGCAAAAGCTATAAACGTGCATGGTGAAGCGAAAGCTTTTGCGAGATTAG